CACTATCCCAGGTTGCTCCAAGCCCTGCCCAATACAGTCCAGAACAATTCCAGGAATGCAGCAGCCACAGCTTCTCTGGATAAACTGTGCCTCACCACCCTCACAGAGAGGAATTTCTTCCCAAAATCCCATCTAAATCTACCCTCTTTCACCTTAAAGCTATTCCCCTTTTTCCTATCAAAAACCCAGATCTGGGTTCTTTGCTTCAGTGGAGGGCTGGTCTTTTGTGCCATGGACTGTGAACGCAGATCCCAGAATGGATTTGAACCCAGATTTTCCACAATGGGTGAATATGCTAACAGGTGACTGGGATAAATCCCATAACACTGTCAAACTTGACAGAGACTGTACATTTTGTGCAAAACCACGTAAGCCCCACCACTGTCAAATGAAAGAGGGAATTTTATGCTCTCTGTTCCTCTCTGATATATGTTTGCCTGTCATCTTATTTCATAGTTGAGGCAATTGAAACACTGTTTAAATGTGTATCATAAACCTATAGATGAGAACATTTCCCTGCTGGATTTAAACCATTACCCCCAAAGGTGCTAAAGAAACCACGCTGTGTGTCACTTTTTAAGATCAAGGGGCATTTTTGATGTTAATGCCTAGAAAAGGCAGATGAACACTAACAGCTGCTTATGCACAGGCTGGTGAATTGAATAGGGAAATACTTCTGTTCTGGAAGTCAGATCTCCAGAGAAAAATGATAAATTGTGAGCATCCTTAAGTAAGAGTGATAGTCTCTAAGGATAGTTGAGCAAGGCTGATAATATAAAATATGTAAAATGGGGAAAATATTTAATACTTCTGTTTCTCTGCTCTAAGGAGTTGGAAGGGTTGTGTTAACAATATATACGGTGCTGCTGTGCTCAGGCATGCAGGAGAAATGCAATATATTAGTTCTCAAATCAGTAGTTTGTGAAATGCGTTTCTGGTATCCAGGGATTTTCAGGACTGTTGCACTGATAAGGAGTCAAGGGCAGTCTCCTCATGGGCTGGGATGGCTCTCTTGGGAGAAGAAGGGAACAGAAGAATAAGAGCAGCAGATTACAAGCTGGACATTTTAGTGTTTCTTTACTTCCAAATGCTGATTGTTTTTTTTAACTCTTCATTTTGCAGATATTTAAAGCTCTGAAGAAACTTCAGTTCTGACCTAGAGCTGATGAATCTTTAAAAAGGCCTTCTGTAGGACATTGTGGTATACAAGAACCTTACACCGATATTCCCATAGGAATTATATGTATATGTGATTCCTGTGTGAGAGACAGAAGGAGAAAGGAGAGAAACTTTCCCTCTAGACCCCAGTAATGATGTTCTGATATGAAAGTCGCCCCCGGGCAAAATGTGTAGGAGGCCAGCAAAAATGGGGAGGAATATCTAAGATTCCAAATCTTCTCCACTGGTTGATCACCTAATAGAATAACCTTGAAATTTTGCTGGCTTTTTTTATGCAAGGAACTCAAAGTAAAAGCCTGGAGGATGGGAAGGTACAGTAGCATCAAAGGATTTAAAATGTAACCTCATTCAGGTTGTACCACCAGGGCTCAGATCCTGCAGAATTAGACCAGTTGGAAGGAACTAAATATTCCCTTTTTTTTCTGAAGTCTCTGGGAAGGAGGGAGACAGCAAACATTCCAGGTGTGTCCTTCCAGGGGACTTTCAGGTAAGAGGAGTTCCTTTGAAAGCAGAGGTGCAGTTCATTGTTTCCTGCACCAAGTTTAATGAAAGAAATCTGAGAAGCCACAGCCAACACCAATAACAAAAAAAAAGTCTTGTTTACTGTTAACCTTTAACTGGACAGCCTGTTAAACTGAAAGTTCCAGTAGAACTGTAGAAAATAAAAATTAAAAAGAAATACTTCTTGCTTAGAACTCTATCTGTCAGGCTCCTAGACCCTGCATTTGGGCCAGGAAAGCCTCTGGTTCAAACTCTGCAGCTTTTTGCTCTATTTTAGGTGATGCATCCGAAGTTTTTCATGTTTTTTTGGTTGCCTTATAGAACATAATTATTTTCTACACTTATATTGTGTGAAACACATAACTTCAGTCTGCCAGCCTCAAGGAATTGCAGCCACACCATAACACTTTTTTTATAGCTTGAGAGAATTTTTTACACCTGAAAATTGGGATTAAGATTGTAAATTCTTTTAAAAGAGAGTTGATACTCAGTTACATGTGGCTTTGTGATTGATGACTGTATCCTGCTCAGCTAATCTCAGTTTGCCAGTAAACCCTTTATGACTATGAGAATTTTAGGTTCTTTGATTTCTATGATAGATTCCTTAAAGCTGCTCAGGCTTTGCTGGATAATTGCTTCATCTCTGTGGTGTCACTTTAAACCCATGGAAATGTGGCATCTTCTTTAAAACAGTTACTGTAGTTTTTGATGTGTTTCTAATCTACAGCATTAAACAAAGCAAAAGCAGGAACAGGAACAAATGATACCTAACCCCTTGCTTGGCTCTGTAGGGCAGTTTCAGAGTGTGCTGGCGATAGCCTGTTTGCTGAAGAAATCAAGGACAGAAGGACAAAACTGTAATGAGACTTGGTGAGTTTTGATTTGAATTTTTAGCATGTTTTTGTCCTTTCAGGTTAGGAAGCATGTGTGGAAGATCTATGATTTTAAAATTGAAGTGAAGCCACTAAGCCGCCTGCTAGTAGAGTTAGTTTCTCTGTGCTTAAAATGGTTCCTCTGTTGCATGCACAAATCAGCTTCCTCTGTAAAAGCAGCAGAAAGCTCAACTCAAAAGTGACTTGTATTGGTTTTGATGGAAGAATTACAGCTCTATTTCACTGTTTTCCCCCAAAGTTTCACTGATTTTCCCCTGGTCAGAAACTGCAGAACCTCACCTGTGCAGTTGTCACATGGAGAGATTTTTGGCTGCTCAAAGCAGTTTTTCCTGAACCTTGTCACATGTAGCTCCAAGTTTGTTCAGCACTGAATTTTGGTAAAGTTGCACAAGAATAAAAGTAACACATCATAGTATAGTCCTCACTGGAAAAAAATTGGTAGGGACATAGCAAGTTCTTCTGTTGCTCAGCAGGAGACAGAAATTCCTGCCTTCCTTAATCTTGGAGGTCTTGGGATAGAGAACTGAAATTGCTGCTAGAATCCCTTTCAGAATAATCCTTATGGATAAACTTAGACCCTCACCAGTCCAGGTACAGTTACAAACATGTGAAATTAGAGAAAACATAGGGGAGGATTGGTGCAGAGCAGCCCGCCTTGTTTTGCTGCCTGGAATGTATTCTGCACATTTAAAATTTTTGCAGGCTTCAGATTTTCAGTTTGGTAAGAACACTTTGTGTTATTGTAGCAAAACTTTGAGCCATGTGTTTTCTCTATTTTCTTTACATTTCTTTTCACTGTATCACCTCACTTCCTCTATTCTGCTCTTTGACGCTGCTCTATCCTTTAACAGTTTTTCCACTGTTCTTTTGTACTTATTTTCCATTTGTTGTGTTTTGCTTTATTCTCTACCAAATACTTTTTCCTTTCTTATTCTCTCCCTCCACTACTGTCATCATGCTTTCCCCCTACACACATTCCTAAATTATCTCTCATAGGTCACTTATGCTTGTTTTGCTAGTGTTTCTGATTTTATTTCAGTTATTTTCTCTCAGGAAATAAACAGATGCCCATGCCCATATATACACACTTGTTTTTTTTCTAGTCACCCTCAAAGAAAAACTGAACCTTGCAAAAATCATGAGGGAGCAGAAGGTATTACAGGCAGCAAAACCTGTGGGTGACTCTGCTCAAATTCCCCATTATTGTTCCTGTAATTTGATGGGTTTGCACTCGTAGCTGGACTGGTGACCTTTGTGTCACCCTTGCACACTGGCATCCTTGTTACACTCATCCTTTCTTTGAGGGTTCTTCTCTCTGTCCCTCACACATCCAGAACCTGACTGCAGTGAGGTTTCACCTGTGCACATCTGCCCAGTGTAAATGTAAAAGCTCAGGAGTGATTGGGAGTCAAGCTGTACCTGTTCTTGTGCAAGAACCAGCACACCATGCAAGGGGTTTGGGCTCTGGAACCCTGAGCAGGGTGGCAGCAGCACTCAAGGACGTTTCTAGAGGTGATGGTGACTCCTGGTTCTGCAGGACCCAGAGAACAGCAAAGACAGGGACTGAGTGACTTTGCTCTGGTGGGTTTGGCTGTAGGGAGGCTCCTGGTTTCAGCCTACAGGTAAATGTCCTCTGTGAGACCCACCAGGGGCTGGCTTTTCATGCTGGCCTTAAGCCTGGAGTCCAGCATTGAAGCAATACAAGATCCTGCAGCTTCTTTGTGTCAGAAAAAGACTCCCTTTGGAAAACATTGTTTAAAGCATCCTTCAACTGTAAAATAATCTGATGCATAAAGCAAACTTTGTTGACTACATTTTTAGCAAAAGAATCTTTCGATAAAATTGATGCTTTGAGGAAAAACCTTTGAAACCTTGGGAAAACCCAGAACTCCTTTTACCTGGAACTGTTGTTCTTGAAACCCTGTTTTCTTCAGTTTCTTCACTCTTTTTTCTCTCCCACCTGCTTTCTACCAGCAAGTGCCCTGAGACACCGGGGCTGCTGCCCTGTGCTGTGACAGGCACAGCACCAGCCAGGCTGGTGTTAAGCACATCCCCTTATACCTGAGGAAAACATGCCCTGGAAGTGAGCTGGAAGTGAGGCAGTGGAGACAGGCAGCTTTTTGTGTCTGAGCCAGGTGTTTGTGCTGCCTCCACCTCTGCCCACCACTCTTCTGGGAAGGGGCAAGGGTGCCTCCTCGTTTGCTTGCCTGCTGCGACAGGGCTCTGCTGTCACCTGCCTGCAGAGTCATTTGCAAACAGGCCCTATCGCTGGGGAGCAGAAATGTGTTTTTTTCAACCCGAAGCAGATTTATAGTCTGGTTTCCTGTCAGATCTTTGCATTTTCCTTCTCCGCCCCTCCCAGTCTCTGACACACTTTTTCTTACTTTCTGTGTGGCTCTTTGTTCGTTCTGCCACCAGTGCCCCAGCCTCTTTCATTCCTGATTCTCCCAAAACTTCTGTACTTTGGGGGCCAGGGGGTGTTTCACTCCTTGAGTTTCCTTTACTTATCAACAGCTGCAGAGCACAAATAACCTTTCCAAGACTCTGGAGGGACACTGACAATTGCATGGAGACAACGTAGAGAGTGCAGCCTGCAGCAGCTGCAGCGAGGCGGCCGGTCACTCATGAGCACCCAAGGTAAGGAAAGCAGCTGGCAGAGCAGCTCCACCTCCCTGCTGCCTACCACAGCACTTGGCTCTGATCACTGAAAGTTCTACTTTCACCTTTTTTTTGCATTGATATTCAAAAGTTTCTTTGAAAATGGTTGCGTTTGTGCTTTCCTTGTCCTCAACAGGTCTGGTACTTTGCGTGCGCCGATCCTTGGAGCCCAAGGTTCAGGGAGGCCAAGAATCTGTAGCTGGAGGTGCAAATGTGCACTGGGAAAGAGAGTTAATATGGAGGTCTAGAGAGGGGAGATGAAGGACTGATCATCAGCACTGGTCTCCAGGGAATTTCTTGTTCTGCCCATATTGTGCTCTAGCCCTCTCTGTAAATCTCTTCACTGAGATTTATGCTTTCTGTTAACAAGTAAAATCTTTCTTATTTGGTTTTCTTCCTCTTTTTGTTTGTTCTTCTCACTTCCTTTTTTCTATTCTCAACCCTCTCTATTTCTTATTATCTTTTTCACCATCTTGTTATGCCTTTTTATGCCATCAAGAGTATTTTCTGTGTGACAAATATTTCCCTTCTTCATTCCTTTCCTTTCCCTCTGCCTCTTTCGTGCCTGTGCACTAGACTGCACATCCTCCCTTAAGTTTTTAAACTCTCCCTCCTTCCCCTCTGTCAGTTCCTTCTTGCTCTTGTGTTCCCCTTTCCCGTTGTTCCTCCAGCTTCACACTTCACACTCCTGCTTCCTGCTCCATCCCCTCTCCTGTGTCTGCTGCCCTGGCAGGATCCTTTTCTGAGAGATGTTGCCTCTCCACTGGGCTGTCCTTGCACACACGTCTCTTTCCTGACATTCCTTTCCATGGCCATGTGCAGTATTTGTATATTTACAGTTTTGGGGATGCATCTCAAAATAGGAGACTTTTACACTTGCATTCGCTTCCTTCCAATGCCCAGACTCATATTTAGTCATTCACAACGAATAATCACTGTCATCCCGTCCCTGTTTCTTTGTCTCACAAACAGCATTTTCTAACACCTGTAACCCCCTTTGTCTTCCTCTCCACTCTCAAATAGAACCTGCCCTGACTTTGTGTATTCTATCCCTTCTCCTTCTGCCATCCCACTCCTTCCTACCTCCTTACCACAACTCTCCACCAGGTTTCTCTATCTGTTCTTATCTTTATACTGCATTCAAACTGGGAGGAACTGCTGATGCAGCTGGGCTTGCACTGCTGCCTTACAATCCCTGCTGCCAGCCTGCAGGGGAAGCAGAGGAAGTATTGCAGTTTCTCAGCTCCTCTTTCCTCTGCAGAATATGCAACCTGAGCAGAGAAAGAGCTTAGTGATGGGACTGAAGGTAGGTGAAAAAACTGGAGAGCACAATTCAAAATGCCTTTGGAAAACTGTAAAAAATACTTCTAATTGTTCATAAATCTTTTTACTAAACTTAATAAACTTCTGGAAGTCCTGCCCCACAGCAGAATTTCTGATCTGACACTGGCATAGTTTTTGTCGTTTCGATTCTTATGGGATTCCAAGTCCCAGAGGTAGGAGTTCTCAACTCCAATGCTGTAGTGGCAGTAACTTTGCTCCTAGGATCTGGAAACAGCTCATGTCTTTTATACCAGACATATTGGTGAGTCATCAAGATCAGACATGGCTAAAAACTGCATCCAAGGACAATATCTGGTATTATTCCATGCTCAAATTTGTATGCTTTGAATCAGATATGACAAATAACTGCATTTCTTTGATGAAGCTTTTTAGCCTCACCTTCTTAAGCTGGACTATTGAGACTGAAGATTTATTTCTATGGATGTTCTGGTGTGGTCTTTTGGGAACTGAAAAAGGTTCACTTATTAAACTCAGCTGAATTAATAAGAGAATTATTATGTGGGAGAATTCTCTTAGCAATCTGTCTGGCTCTCTCAAATTGTCCATCTCCTTATGAGTGAAAGGAGCTTAAATTTTTATGTTTGCAATTATAAGATATCCTTTCTGATTCAGAGCTAGAAAACTGTGGCCTTTGAGCTGGGAGCATTCTCTTCTGAATACAGAAACAGGTACATTAAAATATCCTTGCCTTTTGGAACTTGCAAAAAGTCCACAAGCCTAGAACAATAAAAGAAGAGATGTTAATTTTATACATTCAGGTCTAATATGACTCTTTCTTACTCTGCTGCAACTCATCTTGTGATGGGAACAGCATTTGTATTCCTTTGAGTCATTCTACAAAACTTTTGGATTTTGTGCCTTGTTTTATCAGTATTTTTTCCCCCTATTACTGGTTCTCTTTGTAAAGGTTCCCATAAATAAACTGGCTGAGACAACGTCTCTTCTCTCTCTCTCTCCCTCCCTCCCTCCTTTTTCTTTTGCATCACATAGTTTGTTTGTGTTGAGTTAATAATGGACGTTGTCAAAGGTGTGTTGTGACATTTGTAAGGGGACCTGGAGGCAGAAATTTCATTTTTGTGTGTGCATGTCTCTGCCCAAATTCTTAAATCAAGAGGAGAAATATCAGCAGGAAAGAGCCTGGAAACTTTCTGTCCTCTGCAGCAAATTGCTGTGTCAAAAGAGTCAACCCCAGAACAGAAATTCAGAATCACATGTTTGACTCCATGTTTTTATGCAAATAGTTACTTCCAATTAGATTTAACTCTTAATTAAGAGTTAAATAAACTTTAATAATAAACTTTCTTAATGAACTTTCAGTGTCGGGGAAAAGGAATAACCATCTGACTGCATGTATCTGTTACAATTAAAGAAAATTTTGACCATCTCTAGAAAGATGAATCCCAAATAACTGGGATATGCTGAAGATACCAGAATGCCATCTACCAAATGACCTTGGTTTCTATACAGTTGCTTGGTGAAGGTTTTCAGCAAGTAGATATATGGGATAATTGCTCACAAAGGATGAAATTTATAGAGATCCTTAGCTACCCACTTGTTAGCAGATGGCTCAACTCTCTCTTTGATATTGAAATACATCTTTCATGAAATACAAATCTTTCACTTAGATATGGTCATTAAGTTGTGTAACTGATGGTGGAGTTTGACCTATGGCAACTTTCTTTGGCAGTAGCCTCCACAGCAATCTAAACTTAAAAAGAAATATGGAAGTATGCCATGTGATTATCAAACTGAAGAGTAAAACCATAAACCCCACTAAGTCTGGTCAAGTTTCACCACTGATATGAGAGAAAAATTCTTTGTCTCCTGTCTGTTTTGACACTGCTGCTGTCTGTGGGATTTGCATTTGCAGAACACTGTCTGCTTTGCTGAGAATCCAGCATCTGCAGTGAACCTGCAATTCCTTTTTCAGAACAAATGATGGGGTTTTACAGGTCTACATGCAATAATATTCTCCATCCCTACCCTTCCCCCAAATTTTCTCTAAAGTGCTGCCTTCACCCTCTAGTCTGGGTCACTTATTTAATGGCAATGAACATATTCAGGAAGGTAACCTTTCTGCTTGTGATTTGTTCAAGGACTCTGGAATTATAATGGTTGCTGTCAAATGTATATAATTGGTGTCTGTGGCACACATCCAATGAGTGATAAAAGCTTCGTTGTCTCTGCTGCTTTAGTCTCTATTCCCTCCCTATATCACCCTCTACTTCTGCTCCTCTCAGGCAGGAGGAGAATGCAGTGCCAGGCTGTTTAAAGTGCAGTTAGACTAAACAGCAGCTCTGCCAGATTCCCTGTCACAGAGTATCCCAGCTCTGGACAGTGGATTCCCTTGGCTGAATTTTGCACAATGACTTGAGTCAGTGTTGAGAAAGGTCTCCTCTGGACTTTGATTTCAAACACTTCCCTTCATAACCTTCTGCCAAATATTTGGGCTCTAGGAAAGGTGATAGTTTGTGGGTACCATGAGCTCACAAGCTTAATGATCTACATGTAACATTTTACCAGCAGGTAAGAGCTTTGTGCTTTCATATATAAAAAGCAAATACACATTTCTAATAGCATCCAAAACTGGCAACATGTTGTTCACTGTCTGCTCCCAGTGCTGAGCATGTAGTGTGGAGACTATTCCTGTTATGTTAGTCCTGCAAAACCTATTTTATCTTCAGGGCTGGATTGGGCATTACTTTCAAATGCTGTCTACTTCAGTGAATCTGTTTAGCAGCTCAAAAGGAGAGAGAAATTTGTCAAATCCCACTGGAAATCTATCAGAAATGTCAAATGAAATGCTGTAACATTCTGGTTTTGTCAAAAGGATAAATGTATATACAGCTGTGTGTGTGATATTATTTGTAGTAATTGTTGCCTCAGTGAATTTCTCTGTGTGAAGTAACTTGGTGTTGTATTAAGGGATGTGTTTGTTCTGGTCCCTGAGGCCAGCTTGGCTTTACACACAGGTACTTGATATTTGCCCAAGTCAGCCCTGGTTTTTGGAGTTCAGGGGAGGAATCAACTTCAGTGTAGCCAAGGAAAGGATTCCCACTGGTCCTCTGAGCACTGGGTGTTTGCTGGAAAATTTTCCTCAGGTTGTAATTGAGATGCTGAAGACCAAATGTAGCATGAGGTTTCTGTTTAAAGTGGGATAAGGAATTTTTTTCCATCTGCATGCAGAAGAAGCTGTATGGTAGCAGTATATATATGGTTGTCATTAGCAGCTGAAGAATTGTTTCCACTTCATTTTTATAGCTCCAAATGTGTAAAAACATCTCCAATCTGGCTGTGCTCATATTTGAGATCAGTCTGAATGTACTTAATAGGTTGTTACATACATTTAATATATTTGAGCACAAAAATAAGTTCCTCCAAGATTTTAAACACTAGTGAAGACAGTTATAAAATATTTCCCTCAGGAATTCTGAATCCTGATGAAACTGGGAAAATACCCAAAGGGTGTTTCAAGTCTTTTTACACCAAGTACATTTCCAAAATACAATGAAAATGGTGATTGAAACTTTTCTCTTTGATCATGAACTGAAAAATTATCACATCTGTAAGATCATTTGAAGGCTTTTGGCTTTTAACAACTCAATTCAAATACCAGTGACCTACACTACTCACTG